CATGGGGGGCGGGCTAAGGAGCAGGTCTCCCGGGGAAGCCTGTCCCCAGATGCCATGACCACTGAGCGCAAGTCAGGTCAGGACCAGGGAAACCACCTCCTCTAATGGGGGGAACAGAGGCCAACTCTGGGACTGAATCCAGAGAAAAACAGGAGGGAGAGAGAATTGAGAGCATGAGGAGGATTTCAATTAAATCATTTCGACCCCTGTTTGAACAATTAAACTTGGCAGTGTAAATTCTACATTCTATTGACATTTCTTTCAGTAGAAATTAAAGCACATTTATCCCGCGTGTCTCACTGGCCTCTCTGCTCGATAACCGCCCCCGCATGCACACCACCTCGAGGTCCGAGCGGTCCCGCCCCCCGCCCCGAGAACATCATACCTTCATGAGCAGCAGACAGTTGGCCATGGAGCACGTCACCCGTCCCAGGCGGGACCGCCACAGCTGCACGGAGGCTGCAAGAGCAGAGTATGGTGAGTGCATGGGGAGCGGGTCCTGCTGCTGGCTGACCCAGACAGATGGACGCCCCGCCCCATCACCCAGCTTGGCCACCGCTCCCTGTGCTGCACAGCCCACACCTTGGATGTCCCATGAGCCGACCAGGGCCACGTCCCCAGCTCGGCACGTCCGAAACATGGGAAAAGCCAGCCAAGACGACAGCCCTCGCCCTGCAGCGGGGCCACTCCTGGTGTGACCTGGATGGCCTGAAGGCCTCCCGGCTGCAGGGCTGGTGGACGGTCACACCCCAGTGTCAGCAGCTGCGCCCTCGTAACAGCGGCCTGCCTGCCCAAGGCCTAGGTGTTGTGATCTTTTAAGTGGAAGCAACAATTCCTAACCCATCTGCCTCAGCAGGCTCTGAGGGCAGGGGGAGTGGAGCGGACGCGGGGCAGGGAGGTTGGAGAGGCCAGTGCTCGGTCGGATGTTGAATCTGCCATCCAGCTCAGGCCCGGGGAGAAGCATGTCCCAGACACATGTGAATGGTGACCACTGGGCGAGCTTGCCTTAAACTGACCTTCCTCCCGCTGCCAGGACCAAGGGTCAATTTTGGGATAACAGTCTCCTAGAAATGATGCTTATTGCTGGAGTGCTTGAGAAAAGGACACAAAACTTAATTGTCAGAATGAAGAACGTAACTCACTTTGCCTTTCTGCAATTAAACATACATTAGCTGCTTACATTCCCCTTATGACATCATTTCTGTGAAAAGAAAAATTCTGAATATCTTTCCTTAACCAATGTAAAATGTGATTCTCAGTGAACTGAATTTTATTTTGATTATCTTTGAGGACTTTCTAGTGCTTTCTTCCCCTCTTTGCCTTATAAATCTGTTGATCTGCTGTGAGTTGTCAGGTTTCCAGGCACTGCTTCCTGAGCTCCAACAACTACCTGCTCCTTGTCACCAAAACACGGACACCCTGTGGGATGACATGGCCAGAGTGGGAAAGATGCTGAGGGCAGGATGTCCCAGGGCACGGAGATGCCCACGTCAGACCCCTGTGATCTACCTGCACTTAAGTCACTGAGAAGGACGCACGAACATCGCACCTACAGACCTGGTCCCCTGGGATTTCTCAAAGAAAGGGATCTGTGTTTAAAGCACAAACATAGCCAGAGCTGCTGGTCCTCAAGGATGGACATCTCCTGCCTGGGATGCTTCCCCCTTTTGCACAGTCACGAGCGCATCCGTGGTGCACGGCGCCCAGGGCCCCGCTGTGCCTGAGGCACGGGCACAGGTCTCTGCCCGGGGGGTTCTCCTCTCAGGCCACCTCTCCTGCTTCTGGCACATCTGTCTCCTCACAGCATGGCTTCAGAGGAAGCCCACCCCTTGCCCACATCATCCGTGCTCGCCCGTGGTCACTGACAACCGCTCCAAGTCAGGCGCAGAGCGGGGGACCACCGAGCCCCTGGAGACCACATAAGCCCACAGGCTCATGTGCAGAGATGCCAGCCTCTCAGGGAGGTGCCATCTGAGCTGGGTTTTGAAGCATGATTAGAAGTTCTTCTCTCTAATGTTCTCAAGAAATCTCAGCCAGGATAATCTTTTCAAAATGCAGTTCGTCACAGTTTACCCTTCTCCCCATATCCTCAAGTCCATTCTCTAGTAAGTCTGTGTCTTTATTCCTGTTTCACCCCTAGGTTCTTCATGACATTTTTTCCCTTAAATTCCATATATATGTGTTAGCATACAGTATTTGTCTCTCTCTTTCTGACTTACTTCACTCTGTATGACAGACTCTAGGTCTATCCACCTCATTACAAATAGTTCAATTTCGTTTCTTTTTATGGCTGTGACAAAGCAAGAGAGAGGCATGGACATATATACATTACCAAAAGTAAGGTAGATAGCTAGTGGGAAGCAGCCACATAGCACAGGGAGATCAGCTCGGTGCTTTGTGACCGCCTGGAGGGGTGGGAGGGCGGGAGACGCAAGTGGGAAGAGATATGGGAACATATGTATATATATAACTGATTCATTTTGTTGTGAAGCTGAAACTAACATACCATTGTAAAGCAATTATACTCCAATAAAGATGTTAAAAAAAAAAAAAGAATCCAACAACATATAAAAAAAAAAAAATGCAGTTCGGCTCCTGCCCGCCCAGCACTCACATAAAGACCCATTTCCACAGCCTGGCCCCCGAGGTTCCACACGCAGGGCCCCATCTTCCTTTCCTCTCCAGCTCCGCCCAGGCCTCAGGCTCCCTCCTGCCACTCACTGGCTGAGGCCTCTGGCTCCCCACGAGCCAGGCACCCACCTTGCTGAGGACGCTTACGTTGATTTCTGGGGTTATTTGCTGCAGGCGGGTCTCGGCCTGACGGGGCTCCCCGAGAGCGGGGTTCATGCCTTATGCCAGCACCAACCACGGTGCCTGGCTTGGTCCTAGAAAGGACCGAGGAGATGAATGCATGAAAGGATGAGTGCATTACGGAGTGAGAAGGAAAAGAATGAGACAGAGAAACATTTGGGGCCGAGCCCTCTGACGATGCCGGCTGACTGTCTAAGGAAGGCAAGTCCGGCACTGACCTTGTCTGTTCTCCTGGGCCATGCTGTTCATGCCGCCATCCTCGGCCAGGCCCTGCTCCAAGTTTGTCAGGATCTGTGGGAAATGGAAGGAAGAACAACAGAAATGAATTTGCTTCTAGACGTTGTCACAATATACTCCAGGAGAAGCAGATTTCCCTATATGGAAACCCATTTGTCAAGGAGTGTTTCGCAGGGACACATTTTAAGCTTCGCTGCTCACAAGGCACGGAGATGACGGCAAACAGGGAGCTACTCTCTGACTGGTGGGGGGTTTGGGTTTATGACACTCGTAAAGCATCAGAGACCCCAGACGTGGGGCAGATATTCTCTGTCAGGAAAGCATCAGGAATGTTACACAAGAGGATGATTATTAACTCCTGTGAAAACATCAGTCTCGCTCCTCTAGGGCACCTGAGATATATGCAGCCTTTTTAAATGTATCAAATAAATTCTGAGCATCTGTCACTTTACATAGTTTTTACTGTTCGGCTAATAACCTTGAGTTGCTTCCTCTGTGATTTGGTTTCCCTGAAAGGAAAGAAGTTGCCACCACGGTGATCTGGGAAGAGCCTATGTTCTTTTGGAGGGCAGGGTGAGGAGAAAAACTGTGTTAATAGTAAACGCTGTTTGCAGGGAAGGAAAAGAAAGACGTGCTAACTGAAAACGGGGGTCTCAGGATTCTTTGCCGGCCAACTTCAGGCCACGTGCTTTGGGGAGACACCCCCTTGTGTAGTGGGCCACCCTGCCAGGCAGCACTGCCCCAAACGGCCCAGCCACAAGAGGTGACGTTCACGACCAGCGAAGCAGCTGCTCCGGGCTTTCACCGGCCTCGTCCCATCCGCATAGAGACGGGCCAGCTGGGCCTCCTCTGCTGCCAAGGGTCAGCGCTTCACAAAAGGTGGACGACAGTTCGCTGTGAACACGAAGGCCTGTCCTACCGTGACCACTCAGGACACAACCGGGCTTCAAAACTGTAACCTCGAAGACGAGCTAGTTGGTCCAAACGAGGTCAAATGACATTTTTCAGCTAATTGGTCTTCTGATAAATAATCATAAAAATAGAAACTGACCAGGAAAGAAGGCCTCGAAGGTACCACTGAGGAGGGACAGGAACAAAGAGAAGGACTAAGAGGTTCTGAAGAAGAAATGCGGGAGGCCTGGCTCGTCCCAGGCCCGGGGGCCATGCACAGTGCAGAGGGCCCGAAGTCTGGCCTCGACTCACGGGCTGACGGATGGGACGTGGCGGGAGGGGCAGGCCTGACAGCAAAACCAACCACAACAAAAGAGCATGAGAGAATCGGAAGCACAGACTCCAGGAGGGCGAGGTCGGGGAGTGGTCCTGGCCCCCTGCAGGGCATCTCCATGCATCTGGGCAACCCACCTGGGGGGCCACAGTTACCTCCAGCCTGAGCTAAATCGCAGGAGAACAGTGTCTGGGGGAGAGAGTTCCCACCCGTATGACTTCACACAGTCACAGTAATAGCACGCTGATCTACCGAAGGTCATTTCTGTAAAGTGTAGAAACGCTCCCACCCAAAGCCTGAGCTACTCAGATGGCAAATGTGGCGGCATGCCCCTCCTGTCCCTCCTGTCCAGGTGCAGATCGGACGCCTGTGAGCAGTTCTGGGTCTGCTTCCCAGAACGACCAAGACGGGCTGCGCCCACGGCACCATTCTGGAAGATGCTCCAGAAACACGAGCGTGGGGTGGCGAGGTGGCAGCAGCTGGGCTCTGGGCAAGCCATGTACTTCCAAAAGTAACTACAATACTGAAATGACAGTGGCTTTGAGTGTGTGAAGATGCTGCTTGGACATGAATAGGGAGCAGCCAGGAGGAAATGTGGGCCTGGGAGACGGTTCTGGACCCACTGTTCTGTCAGCAGGTGGGTGTGACCAGAGCTGAGAGGCTGCATCGACACCCCCCGCCCCACCCGCGGGTCCTGGGCTGTCCTGGATTGGTTCTGGGATGGGCAGTGTCACTCCAGCAATGCAGATGCCGTCAACACTCTGGACAGCAGCAGAGGGAGGACAAAGGACTCAGAAGGCCCGGGCTCGGTTGTTTTGTCCAAGGAGAAAACTATACGTCTCGCACGAATAACCCAGCTGCCTGACTCCATATGTAACCAAGACCACTTGATCTCAGGCTTTCCCTGGTGGCGCAGTGGATAAGAATCCGCCTGCCAATGCAGGGGACACGGGTTCGAGCCCTGGTCCAGGCAGATCCCACATGCCGTGGAGCAACTAAGCCCGTGCACCACAACTACTGAGCCTGCACTCTAGAGCCCACAAGCTGCAGCTACTGAGCCCAAGCGCCGCAACTACTGAAGCCCGTGTACCTACAGCCCGTGCTCCGCAACGAGAAGCCACCGCAATAAGCCCGCGCACCGCAACAAGAAGCCCACGCACCGCAACGAAGAGTAGCCCCCACTTGCCGCAACTGGTGAACGCCCGCGCGCAGCAACGAAGACCCAACGCAGCCAAAAATAAATAAATAAATAAATAAAAAGGACCACTTGATCTCAAACAGGCAATGTGTCACCTACTCATATTTAAAGGGACCAAACCCATGCCCCGACTTCTCTGCAGTTACCCTGGGTTTGGAAGATCACTTACAAACATTTTTGGGTTCTCAGCAAACTTGAGCAGCCCACAAGAAACACCCCATTTACACGTCTGCAGAAATCCTAGAAGTTCACGGGCCCTGGTGCATACGCATGGCCTTGGACTCTGGTATTTTAAACTCCAGGTTCTGAGTCATATGCGGGGTGCAGCCCAAACCCTGCCCTTCTGATGGGCTCCAGGCAACACCAGTATGGGTGGTCTGGGGACCTCGGTTTGTGGGAAAGCTCTCAGGGAAGGGGCCCTGGTCCTGTCCTTTGTCAGCCTGTCACGGGCTGTGGTGGAGAAGGTCTAGTGGCCGGGTTTATGCACAAAGCGCCCAGTCTCTGGACCCCTGGGGGTCGGCCCCAACTCAAGGACCCAAGGACTCACTAATGACCTGCGGTGTTCAGACTGAGGTGAGAGCACGTCTCCCTAGAGGGGCTTAGATTTCTCTGGAAAGCCCTGGGACCTTCTCAGCCCTACCAGTCTCCTAGGAGACCTTCTGGAAAAGAGGCTTCTGGGAGTTGCTCCAAGCCACTGCAGGAATATTAAACACTCCCATGGACCACGCACTGTGCCAGGTCGCTGGTCATCTAACCCACACAGCAGTCTGGAGGTGGCTGGTGACACCACTCCTCCCCAGGCTTCCACAGGCTGGTCAACCCCCACCAGGAAGAGTCAGGGTCACACCTGGAAACACCCGTCTGCCTGACTCTAAAGCCCCTCCAACCACGGCCTGTGGACATCCCCCCAGCAGGGCATCACACCTTGAAGCAATGCTCTCTCTTTCCATGCAGGTCAGAGAGTGAGAACCTTCGATGCCAAGGTAAACAATGCCACGATGGAGATTCCAGACCTCTCTGTTCCACCGAGGGCTGCCTGTAGCTGGGCTATCATGCAGGTGTCGGGCGGGACCACCTGCCAACTCGGGTGACCTTACGGCACACTGTGGGTCACCTCTGGCACATCAGATTTCACACGGGGCTGGGGCTGCTGAGGGGTGTGGTCGACATTCCCAAGTCTTTGTTCTGGGATCTGCAAGGATGCAAATTTCCACCATGAGCCTTCAGGATACAAATCCTGCAAACCCTGATGACAGGGACACTCCTGTCACCTCCTCCTTCTGGGCCCTCTCAGCACAGATGTGGCCTCAACCAGGGATTAGGAGCCATCACCTCCCCTTCTCCACCACCTCCCCTCACTTGCCAGCCACTCCCATCTCATCTGATGAAGCCACTGTCAATTTGTTCTCTGCTGGAGCGGGCAGGACAGAGGGGCGTGGGGACCATGGGCCTCCGGTGAAGCCCGGCGGCAGCGGGTGTGGTCACGCCCGATGGCCCGCCCAGCTGGGTGCTTCCCAGAGCGGCTGGCAGGGGTAGGGCGGACAATGTCTGTTCTCTCTTCCATTCTTAACTTCGCTTACAAGTAAAACAGCATAACCGAGCAGGTCCATCTGTTGGAATTCCTTTTTAGTAAAGATATGAACCCTTCCTAGAAACACCCCTCTCACCTCTGCCTCGTTAGGGTGTCCAACCAAGAACAGAGCAAACCGACGTCCCTTCCCGAGGGGCTCCTTCGGCAGTGAGGGTCTCTGAAGGGGCACTTCCTTACCTGGTGCCCGGAGCCCGGCTAAGGTGGGGTGGGCGGAGGCTGCAGAAATCGAATTATAGGGCAGGGCAGCACTGAACTTAAACCCACACGGCACATCCCCATCAGCGGCGACCCAAACCCCACGCTGATCTGGCAACAGGACACATGAAAACGGGCTTAGAAACGTGTTCCCCGGCTCTTTGCCGACAGGACCCAGAGATGCAGTGGCCCGCAGAGAAGCCGAGGAGCAGGGGTGGTGGGCAGAGGTGCCACTGCTGTGGCATGACAGGGACGGCTCTCCTAAGCCGCGGGGCGCGCTTATTTTAAATCGAGGTATATTTTGTTCTTCATCGATGCCACTACACCTGAACCAAACATTTACTACTCCACCACGTGGTTCTTACTTGTCACCTTCTATTTCAAAGACAGCAGAGAAAACCCTGGACCGTTTTGTAAAGGTCATGAGTGATGTTCTGCTAAAACTGGGCCGCACCTAAAAAATCGAGACAGTGCTCTCTCATCAGGTTGAATACACAGGCTCTAACAATTCTCCAGTGAATCTTCCGTATAAGGAAAAGCTCAGCTTCTTCTGAGCAAACGATGCCGGGGATTCCATAACTGGTGTTATGTCCCTCTCTGCTCTGCTTACCTGGACCCTCAGCGCAAACCTGTGTGTGGCATAAACCTTGTACGTTACCGACCATACTGCTGTCTGAATTTTATCTTCCCTTTGCCCTGTAGTCCTCATTTAATTTTTTTTCAATAGAAAAAAATTCTACGTATAAAACTAACACGTGCATTGTTAAGAACTGGACAGAGAATAAAAATGACCATTAATCCCATTACCCACACCACTAACGTACTGGAGTGTTCTTCCTTCAGGGCATATTACTTCCTTCACAGAGGCCGTTCTGTAATTGTAATTCTGCAGGCTGGCTTGGACAGCGGACGTCACATCCTAAACACTTCCCACGTGACGGCTGTGGAGACGAGACACCCATCTGGAGCCCGCGTCGTGTCCCCACACCCCAGCCTGGCGCCCTGGGACACCCGGCTCTGTGCCCTGCTGCTTTGGTCGGGGCGGCACAGACTGGAAGCAGCGGGAGACCTCTATACCAGTGTGTCCTTTTGCAGGGGGGACGCCGGCTGCCCGGGCCGAGGGCCACCGGGTGGCAGGTGTCTGCTTCTCACCCACCCTGGCTGCCCCGGGCCCGCCCGCATCTCACTCTAGCTGCCACCCGGGTCGTCCCCTTTCACTTGGGAAACCCGTGCTGGGGCTGAACCTGTGAACACCTGACGTGTGCTAGAGAGGCAGCGACCAACAGCGGGCTCCGAGCACATCTGCACACACACCTGCACCCGCGACAAGCGTGTGCGCTTCCCAGGCACCGAGCGGGGCCTCGGCCGGCTTTCTCACTAAAGACGGGAACCTCCGTGCTCTCTTCTTTACCTCCTTCCCAGACGCGGCTTCCACGCCCACCCCTGACCTCCAGAGCAACGAGAGACGCCACACGCACAACGAAACCGACAGGCACAGAGCGCTTCGGGGGTGTGGACCACGCCGCTGCTTTCCTTCCGGAAATGACGCCCTGGTTTCACTGCCTGCCCAGAGTGAAGCCCTCGATCGCCGTCAAGGCGCTGGCCGGTCGGCGGCTCCAGAGGGCAGCCCCGGCGCGGCCTCCTGCCCGCCCCAGCCCCCGTGACGACTCCAGGGCGGCCCGGGTGGGCCCTGGTCGAACCCGCAGCTGCACCCCAGCAGGCAGTTGCGTCTGGGAGGCCTGGTGGGCGCTGGCTGAGCCTGGGCCCCCTGGATCTGGGGCGGGCAGGAGGCCAGGCCCGGCGAGCAGGCTGGGGAGAGGAAGCCGCGGCAGGGGGCCGGGTGCGAGCATCACCCTGGGAGAGACTATTTCACAGGATAACTCATCTCCTTCCTTGCTGGACTCGCCCCCCGCCCCCAGCGAGGAGCCCAGCGCCCCCTGACCCACTGGGCAGCTCTTGGCAGAGGAAGCGCGGCTGGCGCTCTCTGGCACCGGAGGGTGACGCGCGAGGCCGAAGCCGCGTTCCAAGGCTTCCGGGCACACGCTGCACGTGCGGGGAAAAGGGCTGCAGCTGGACCCGCAGAGGGTGCAAGGCGTGGGCGGCGGCCGGTTCACAGCCGGCGACCTGCTTTCGTTCAGGCCCCCCGCGGCCGGACCTCAGCTGTACTTAACCCTCAGAGGCTCCGTCTCCTTGTCTGTACATCAGGTATGGCACACCGCCTTGTACAGCCGTTGTGAGCACTTACGGAGCTTTAACATAAAGCACGGAGCACAGCACCCATCATGTAGAAGGGAGCACTGAGCACAGCCCCGTGGCCACTGCCGCCATCACCGCCACCCCCGTGTCCGACCTCCGAGCCCGTGGCGTCAAGGGCAGCACCACGTGGCAGCAGGTGTAGCAGGCGGGTACCCAGAGACGCATGGAGAGCGTGGAGCCCGCTGGGGAGGACTTGGGAGACAGCCTTAGGGTTAAAGCCCTAGAATTCATATGCACTTCCCCTGTGTGACACGGAGGTGAGTGAAAAGCAATAAAAACAATCATCTGTGTGTGATTTCGAACATCACTGATTTAGTACCAATTACAAGTTTTGTTTTCCTATTTCTGGAAATAACTATTTTAACCACGTTTTAAGAGTCAGGGAAAGGAGTGTTAGACTCTAAAAAATAGTGATGACACAATTTCCCCCATCAACGGATCAAATTATAAGAGAGCAACGTTTTTATCTTTTAAGCTATAAAAGCCAGAAACCGATGCAAAGCTTAAGCGTGTCAGGTGGCCTGCTGTGGTGTCCACTCTGCGAGGGCGGAAGCCCTGCCACTTCCCTGCTGGGAACACAGAGGACCCCCCAGGAGCTCCAGGAACATCCACCAAGAGCAGCTGGGGACTGAAGCAGGAACTCGACAAGTACAAATAACCTCATTTAAAAACCTGTCACATGCTGCCGCTCCTAACTGCTTGCTGTTACAGCTTTGGAAGCCCTTCCACAGACAACGCTGCAGCTAAGCTACACAGCAAGGCTGCCAGGCGGGTAGGAAACGCAGGCTCACTTCCAGTCTGAAGATGGAGGCTCTCGGGGGCGTGGCTGCCCGCTGCCTGGAGATGGGGAGACTCTGAACCCCACATCTCTCCTTCCCATCACTCAGTGCAGTAAATCTCATCTTCTGTTGATACAACTTGATGCCTTCCACGTAATTGTTACTTTACAACCCAGAAGAACTCAGGAAGCACTTCTGAACCTTATCTGCCTCCAGAGTCAGTATTACAAATGACACTTGTCATGATACACTATAATTTGCTTTGATTCTGGAACATTTTAAACCATTATCTCTTTAAATACTGCTCTGATGCCTCCGTTTGACATGAAGCAGGTGCACGTAGCCTTTTGCAGGATGCGTGAGTGGTCGGGCAGCCTGGCACGTGTTCACGTGTGTGATTTCTACACAAGAGGAAACGCTCCTGCTTTTCATTTACTAATAATACCGGGAAGAAAGATTTCAGGCTTCAAGCTTTGCCGAAAACCACCCACCACCCCCCCCAGAATAATTCAGCGAGAACAGTGAATTGCACGGTCACAAGGAACCGGGTCAGCCTGCCTTTCAGGAGGGGGAAGCAGAGTGGTGGGAAGGGTACAGGGTGGCGTGATGTGCTGCTCGTGAGGGCGGGAAGGTCTGGGTGAGCCCTCCATCAGGAGGGGAGGCATCAGCGGCCCAACTTGGAGCGACGGTTACCTTGCTGCAGACGGCCTTCACCCTGTGCAGCCGGTCCAGCGACTCCTGGGGGTTCCCCAGGTACTGATGAAGCTCCGCATGTAGGATCCGCATCGAAAAGGGGACCATGGAACCTAGAACCAAAGTCAAAGCAGAGTGAGTCTGTTTGCCATAACTGAGCACAAGTAAGCACCCTCTCAGAGTGAGTACCCACGCAGCAGGGAATCTGCAGATGTTCTAGCAGAAGGGATGACAGAATCCCTTATATCTTGGTAAAGTATGCGATGATGCCAATTATAAAACGTGTCTTGGTTTTCTCTGTACAGCTGTATGTTCTAGACAGTGACCAAAGGAGAAAGCTGGCTGTCACTGCTTTTCCAGAGTTACACCACAATCGTGTGGAAATTGTCACAAAATGAGTAGAATGGTAGAGACCACCGCCTGCTCCAGTAAAGAAAACAGAACACTCATGGATTCTCTGTACTTCTCTGGGATGTCGAGCTCCTGTAGAAGGTTGCGTAGGTCGGGTTACTGCGGAGGGAAATGAGAGAGGGTGCGCCTCGGGCCCAGGTCCTGAGGACGGAGCGTCAGCCTGACTCCGGGACGTGTGTGTGTGTGGTGTGTGTGTCTGTGTGCGCGTACGTGTGTGTGTGTGTGTGTGTGTGTGTGTGTGTGGCTCTGGAGTGAAAGTTCTACCTCAGAGCTGTCCCAGCGGAAGGGAGGCACGGCAGCTGGCCTTGAAGACTCCACTGCCCAGGGCTGCCCCGGAGGGAGTTCTGGGCAGTGCCACCTCCATCAGCGTGCCAGGAGCATGAGAGCAGTGATCTGAAAAGGACTGCAGTTGAAATGAGCTTTTATACAGTGTCTGAATGTGGCTGTGTTCTCTCAGGGTGAGGGAATCTTTCTGTTAGTGTCACGTTCCCCTCTGACATGACTTGGATATGTACCTGTATCAGTATATATCGTAATTTAGTAAGTATATAAGTATTTAAATGCCATCAAATAATCAAACAGCCTGTGCTGATTATGAACGACTTAAAGGATGTGACAATGCCAGCACAGGGCAATCACACAGATTCAGAAAGGACCTCTCAATACTTAGATCTGGACTACACTTTATTATTATTTTATTTTTTGGCTGCGTTGGGTCCTCGTTGCTGCGTGTGCACTTTCTCTAGTTGTGGTGAGTAGGGGCTACTCTTAGTTGTGATGTGCGGGCTTCCCATCGTGGTGGCTTCTTGTTGCGGAGCACGGGCTCTAGGCATGCGGGCTTCAGTAGCTGCAGCACACAGGGCTCAGGAGTTGCGGCGTGTGAGCTCCAGGGCACGCGGGCTTCAGTATTTGTGGCTCGCGGGCTCTAGAGCACAGGCTCAGTAGTTGTGGCGCAGGGGCTTAGCTGCTCCGCGGCATGTGGGATCTTCCCGGACTAGGGATCGAACCCGTGTCCCCTGCATTGGCAGGTGGATTCTTAACCACTGCGCCACCAGGGAAGTCGCTGGACTACACTTTAAAGACAGTTAGAAGCAAGCTGTGTGACAGCTGCAAGCTGCTCAGCCTCTCTGTGCCTCAGTCCGTCCACCGTCCATCCAGCAACCATCAGCGAGGCTCTACCATGTGCCACACTGAGGTGGCTTCACGTTTGTGCTTCTTATCTTGAAAAACTGGATGATGCTCTATGGTCTTCAGTAAGGATAGGAAGAAGAAAGGTCAAAAGGACAAAGAAACTAAGGAATACTATGGAAAATAGTTTCTATTGTGATTGTGAGCCTAGAGAAAAGAAAGATGACAATTATTCAATTTAAATGTTTGAATTTTTTCTTTTTGATGACACTAAATAATTGCCACGTCTGAAGAATACGGATGACTGAGTTGACATCATGGCATCAGTCATTTCAGCTTCCTAGAAAGAACCATTTCTTGACGGTTGGCATCACTAAAATGGGATTGCGCTAACATGGTAAGTCACACATAAGTTGTGTCTGTCATCCCTATACATCAAACAGAGAACAGGCAATAGTCGTTCCCACGTGGTTTAGAATTTACCTGCAGGGAGAGAATCTCTAGGACACTTTAGGCTTTATAAGATAAATGCAGAAACAAAACGTCTGTGAAGTTCCCAAGCCCAATTTATAAATGAGCTGAATATATGACAAGGTGGTCGGGAGTTACTTGCTCTTTGCCCTGGAAACTGCCCATGGACCTGGGGAAGTTTTTGCATTTAAAAGAACATATGAAAATATTTCAAACTAAATGAAAATGAAAATACTACTTATCAAAATACGTGGGATGCAGCAAAAGCAGTGCTAAGAGGGAATTTTACAGTGTCAAATGCATATATTTAAAAGACCTAAAATTAATCATCTAAGCTTCTACTGTAGGATACGAGAGAAAAACAAGCAATATAAAAGCAGAAGAAAAGAAAGAAAAGTTAGAGCAGAAAGCAATGACATTGGAAACAGGAAATCAAGAGAGAAAAATCATCAAAATCCAAACCTAGTTCTTTGACAAAAATCAATAAAATTTATAAAACTCTAGCCAGGCTAACCAAGAAAGAAGAGAGAAGACATGAATTACTAATATCAGAAATGAAAAAGGGGTCATCACTACTGATCACATGGACATTAAAAGGAAAACAAAGGAATATTATGAACAAATCTATGTCAATGAATTTTATAACCTAGATGAAATGGACCGATTCCTTGAAAGACACAACCTACTTACTAAAACTCATGCAAGGAGAAATAGATAATCTAAATAGGCCAATATCTACTTAAGAAATGAAATCGATAAATAGTGACCTTCCAAAAATAGAAGGCACCAGGCCCAGGCCCAGATGGTTTCACTGGTGAATATTCTAGACAACATTTAAGGAAGAAGTGGTACCAATTCTCTACAGCCTCTTCCAGAAAACAGAGGTGGGGGGGATGCTCCCTAATTTATTCTATGAGGCCAGCATTACCCTTATAGAAAAATCAGGAAAAAATCAGTATTTTAAGAAAGGAAAACTATAGATGAACATAGCTAATGAACATAGACACAAAAATCCTCAACAAAATTAGCAAGTCAAATCCAACTAGATCAAATCCAACAGAGAATTAGCAAATCAAAACTAACAGTGTATAAAAGAAATTATCCACCATGACTCACTGGGATTTATTCCAGGTATGCAAGGTTGGTTCAACATTCAAAAAAGAATTAACGTAACCCATCACATCAAACGAGCTTAACAAGAAAAATCACACAATAAATCAAGAGAAGCAGAAAAAGCATTTGACAAAACATACCAGCCATTCATGATTAAAACTCTCAGCAAACTAAGAATAGAGGAAAACGTCCTCAATTTGATAAAGAACATCTATAAACACCTACAGCTAAAAACATCTATAAACACCTACAGATAAAAACATCTATAAACACCTACGGTGAGAAGCTAGGTGGCTCCCCCTAAGGTCCTGAATCGTGCTGAGATGTCCCTCCCCTTTGCACCACTCCTACTGAACATGCTGCTGGAAGTCCTAACTAACGCAGACAGAACAAAGACCCTTTGGAAGACCAGAAGAACGTGCCTGCAGTTCTGTCTTCTCTCCAGGCGCCGTCTTCTATGGAGTAACAGCCACCCCTGTCCCAAACTGTTGAGTTTTCCACCAGAGCCTGTCTGTGCCAGAGCAGACTCCCGCAGCTCTGGGAGGTGGACGCAGGCAGACGCCGGCAACAGGTGACACTCCACGTGACTCCCTGTGACTCGCATCTGGAGTTGGGACTCTATCCAGACGGCCGAGAGCAGGAAGAGAAGGGTCAGCACCGGTCCTCCTTAACCACGTCACCCTTGCCTGCGGCTCTCCTGGGGGTGTCCGGGAGAAAGCCAGGGCTGAAGTGGGGAGCAGCTTCCCCCTCTTCTCTCTTGGTACCACGGGGAAGGTCTCATTCTGCTTAAAAAGCTCGTAGAGCAGAAATCGAGAGGGAAGCACACACACAGCCTCATGACACATCAGAAAGAGAAATGCCCCTCTCTAGAAAAATATACTGTTCACACAGCCAAAACAAGAAAAGCAGCTGGAGAAACGTTGTCTATTAATCCCAGCTTGAACAGGTTAACAGCCAGTTACTCAGTGGGTTTTAGGTGCCAATGCAAGCATAGGCGCTGGATGTACGCTGGTCACGAAGGGGATGTGACCACTGTTCCCAAGCAAACCCCACAACCTCGCCAATAAAACACAAAAGAAACCGTTTCAACGTAACTCAGGCCTTTCCTGCTTTTGTTTGTTTGTTTGTTTTAAAGAAATGCAAATAAAAGTACCTTTAAACTGATTCTCTCAGTCTAGCAAACCCAGCCTTGCTCTGTGTGAAGAGTCACTGGGAATCAGTGAAGCCCTTCATGCCAGAAGAATCCAGCAACATGAAATACGCAACAGCTCCGCACCAGCCAGAAGCTTGTCTCCCCTGCATGGAGAGCACGCCTTGAAAAAGAGGGCAAGTCAGAATCTGGAAGGAAACGTATTTCCCAGTGGATCTGTTTTTCTGGAAAGTTCCCACATATAGTCATGACCTGCCAAAATCTAGGTCGGTATAAATACGGTACAAGTGCTCTCATTAATCATTTAGAAAACATTAAATGAAAACACTCCTACACAATTCATGTTATCGAGTCCCCTGCAGTACTGCAGACCCACTCGGCAGCCACAGAATCAGAGCGGGATGCACCAGAAATCACGCAGGCCCCGTGCTGGGCAGCGAACTTGAAAGAACAAGCAACAGGAGGAATGTCAGCTTGACTCCAGCGGGGCACACAGGCACAGGACTTCCCTGGCATGGAGACAGTCTGGACCTCCCGCCACCCACTCGCCTGTGTGCTGGGCGGGTGGCGTCCTCTCTCAACTTTCCTGGCCACCCGCCCAGCAGGACAGGGGACTGGGACATGGCCAGGCTGCTGGGAGGCCCGGGCGTGCTGACGCGATGGTGCATGGTGCCTGGTGGACACCCAGCAGAGCACAGACTCCGTGGACCCTCTGCCCACGGCTGGCAGGCTCAGCTCTCCCCCTTGGGGCCTGGCAGTTCCTCCTGCTGTCAAGGCAAAAGCAGGACCCGGTGCCTGACTGCTGCTCTGCACTTGCTTCCCTGGACCCGGCGCCCACCC